ACCTTCATTGAATTTCTTTCTGCAACCCCTTGGGTATAGTTGTTCCTTTTTTCAGCTCTTTGTACTGCTTCCAGAACTCTCTGAAGGGCTGGTTTGGTGGACATGAATTCCTTCATCCTATTTATGTCATGGAAGATGTTTCTTTCCCCTTCAACTACAATAGATATTTTGGCTGGGTATAGTAATCTGGGTTGGCATCTGTGGTCATTTGAAACTGGGACTACTTTGGTCTAGGCTCTTCTGGATTTCATACTATGCACTGAAAAGTCAACTGTAATCCTAATGGGTTTTCCTTTATATGTGACTTGTTGTTTCTCTTTTGCAGCTTTCAGTATTGTCTCTTTGTTCTGTACGCTTAGTGTTTTTACTATGATGTGCCGTGGAGAGTTTCTTTTCTGGTCTTGCCTGTTTGGTGTTCTATATGCTTCTTGCATTTGTATGGGCATGTCTTTCTTTAATTTGGGAAAATTTTCTTCTACGATTCTGTTGAAGATCTGGTCCATGCCATTATCTTGGGATTCTTCTCCTTTCTGTATGCCTATGATTCATAAGTTTGGTTTTTTTATGGGGTCACACAATTCCTGCATATTCCAGTCTTGTGATTTCTTAAATTTTTTATAATCTTTGCTTGAATGGTCCAGTTTGTCCACTTTATCTTCCAGTCTTGATACTCTGTTTTCCATTTCATTCATCGTATTGGTGAGGCATTCTCCTGTCGTTTCTAATTTGCTTATGGAGTGTTTCACTTCGTTCTTTGTTTCAGCCTGAGTATTCTTCAATATTTCTAGCTCTTTTCTGAATTCATTCAGAAGTTTATCCCTATCTTCCTTCAGCTCTATGATTACCTTGTTTGTGTGTTCTTTAAATTCACTGAAATCTTTTATCATGTATATAATTGTTCTTTTGAGTTCCATGTCCTGCATTATCTCTTTGGGGTTCTCATTGTACTCCTCTAGAAGACTATTGGTATTTGGTGGGGATATGTTAATTTGGTTTTTCATGTTATTATTTTTTCTCTGTGATTTTGAGAGGTGAATTTCTTTTGTAGTTTCTGATTCTTGTGTGAGATTCAAGCCTTCAAGTTTAGGTCTGCTTCTTTTAGTGAACTTTGATGGAGTGGCCAGATTGCTTTTGTCTTCAGGAGTTCCCACAGAGGCCCAATTCAGATGAGGATCAGAAGTTTTCAGGCTTCTCCTAAGGTCTGGATCCTTCCAGGAACGATTTTGACCTCAGGAATTTGGGGGTTGGCCTGGCCTGGGAGCCTGGCCCAGGAGAGATGCTGGTGTAGGGCAGCTGGTGGCTGTGCCGCCCAGAGATGCAAAGGAAGATGGGGGCAGGAGGCAGCTCCAAGGTCCCCTGCGGACTGCACTGAGGAGCTGGGTTGGTACCAGAGAGAGAAGCCTGTGGTTTGGAGAGCTGTTTTTGGTTTTTGTGAGACAGGGTCTCACTATGAAGCCCTGGATGGCCTGGAACGCAGTATGTAGGGCAGACTGGCCATTAATTCACAGAGATCCACCTGCTTCTGCCTCCCCACTACTGAAATTAAAGGTGTTTACCACCATGGCCAATTCTCTTTTTTGTTCTTTTGGAAACAGGGTCCAATTTGCTATGTAGCCCAGTCAGGCTTTGAACTTGGGATCCTCCAAGTCATGGGATTACAGGAAAATACCATCATGCCAGCATGGGCTAGTTTTGTTTGGTAAACTATGTGGATTTTCCCAATTTGTTACTTATAATTAGATTCAGATCGAACTCAGTCATTGAATTACATCCCTAGCCTAAATCAAACTTTTAGCAAGTGAGTCAGCATGAGAGCGAGAGCGAGAGGGAGAGCGAGAGGGAGAGCGAGAGCGAGAGCGAGAGCGAGAGAGAGAGAGAGAGAGAGAATGAAAATGAGAATGATGTGTATGCTTGACTGCTGGTATATATAGGCCACATTAAGTGGAGGCCAGAGGACAATCTTCAGGTCATCAAGCTTGCATAGTAAATGTTTTTACTGGCTCAGCCATTTCGCTGACCCCTGATTCAGATTTTAAACTAGCAAGAATATTAGCTGTGGTGGTATATGTCTATAATTTCAAAACAGGGAAGTTGAAGCAGGGAGTATGAGGTATTATTCAAAACCAGCATCAGACACATAGTGGGTTTAAGGGTGGGCAGGCTGGGCTACATGATCCACTAAAAGGGGGAAGGGAGTAGAGCCCTTAGAGAGATGGCTCAGTAGTTAAGAGCACTGGCTGCTCCTACAGAGGACCCAAGTTTGACTCCCAGCACCCACATGGCAGCTAAAAAATGTTTTGTAGCCAGGAGTAGTGGCACACGCCTGTAGTCCCAGCACTCGGGAGGCAGAGGCAGGTGGATCTCTGTGAGTTCAAGGCCAGCCTAGTCTACATAGTGAGTTCCAGGCCAACTGGGGCTACAGGGAGACACTGTTTCAAAAAAGACCAAAAAAAAAAAAATTTTTGTAACTGCTGTTCCAGGGGGCTATGCCTCCCTCTTCTGGTCCCCATGGGCATTGCATGAATGGGTGCACTTAATATACATGCATGCAAAACATTCTTAAACATGAAATTAAAACTTTTATTAAAAAGTTAAAAAAGGGACTGGAGAGATGGTTCAATGGTTAAGAACTCTATTAGTTCTTGCAGAAGACCTGGGTTCAAATCCCAGCCACCCACATGGCAGCTAACAACTGTCCCTAACTCCAGTCCCAGGGTATCCGACTGTCTCTTCTGACCTCCGAGGGCATTGCACTTACCTACATGCAGGCAATACACGCATACACATAAAATAAAAATAATAAAATTTTTTTTTAAGTTAAAAAAAAAACTGGGACCAAAAATAAGTAAACATAGATGACATTCATTTACTTTGCATTGCTTTTAGGTTTTGTTTGGTTTAGGTTATTTTTTTTTAAGGATTAATTTTTTGGGTGGGGGTCTTTTTGAGACAGGGTCTCCCTGTGGCCCCAGCTGGCCTGGAACTCACTATGTAGACCAGGGTGGCCTCGAACTCACAGAGATCTGCCTCCCTCTGCCTCCCGAGTGCTGGGATTAAAAGCGTGCGCCACCGGCTTAGGACAAGGATCTTAATGGTCACAACATCAACTAAACGTCCATTTCCTTTAAAAATTATGCCATCACAGGGCTAGAGAGACGGCTCAGCAGTTAAAGGCACTGGTTGCTTTGCAGAGGACCTGGGTTTGATTTCCAGCACTCAAATGGCAGCTAACAACCATCTGTAACTCCAGTTCCAGGGATATCTAATGCCCTCTTCTGACCTCCATGGGCATTGCATGACATGGGCACACAACATGCAAGCAATACACTTATACACATAAAATAAAAGTAACAAAAATGAAATAATTTTTTTAAATTATGCCATCTGGGGGTTGGAAAGAGAGTCAATTCTTAAGAATACTTGCTGCAGGGGCTGGAGAGATGGCTCAGCGGTTAAGAACACTGGTTGTTCTTGCAGAAGACCTGGGTTTGAATCCCAGCACCCACATGGCAGCTAACAACTGTCCATAACTCCAGTTCCAGGAGATCTGGTGGCTTCTTCTGTCCTCTGCGGGCATTGCACAATATGGGTGCACTTACCTACAAGCAGGCAAAATACTCATACACATAAAATAAAAATAATAAATAAAATATTTTTTAAAAAAAGAATACTTGCTGCAGAGCTAGGTGTGATGGCACATGCCTTTAATCCAGCCCTCTGGAGGCAGGCAGATCTCTGTGAGATCAAGGCCAGCCTTGTCTACATAGCAAGTTCCAGGCTAGCTGGGGCTACAGGGGGGCTCCATCTCAAAAAAAGGGGGAGGTGGACTACAGAGATGGCTCATCAGTAAAGAGCACTGGCTGCCCTTCCAGAGAACCTGGGTTCAGGTCCCAGCACCTACATGGCAGCTAACAACTATCAGTAACTCTGGTTCCAGGGAATCCAACACCTTCTCCTGGCCACCACAGGTATTACATGCTATGGGTACACTTAGATACATTCAAGCAAAACATTCATACACATGAAATAAAAATAAATAATTAAGGGGCTGGAGAGATGGCTCAGCGGTTAAGAACACTGGCTGTTCTTGCAGAAGACCTGAGTTGGAATCCCAGCACCCACATGACAGCTAACAACTGTCTGTAACTCCAGTCCCAGGGGATCCAA